GTTATTATAGCTAATTTCTCTTGTTGACAAAGATTGCAGATGTTATGATTGTTGTAAGGGTTAGGTTTTTTTTTTTTTTTAATTTTCCAGTTTACAATTGGATCTTTTTTAGTTTTCTCCTTTAGTTTCCACACATGGTTGGCTAGTTTAGTAGAATTTCTAAGACTTTTTAGCTTGAAAGATGACTTACGATTGTACCACCTCTTTTTAAGGTTACCCTCAGTAACATATATGTATATGATTGATTAGTGTTGTCTTAGACATATGTGGGTCAAACAGTTCAGCTCTTAGAAATGAACAGAATACCCTTCATATATGATTTGATTATAATGGTGAAGCACAGAAACATTTACACATTTTATAATAACTGAATACAGAAAATTGGTGCACATATTGTGCCACAAGATCCTCAAACATCCCTCCTCAGGTACTTTTAACCCACATCTGGAGGCAGAAGAGATGGATTCATACCTTTCCCAAGGGTACTTGTGCATAAGTTAATCTAATGAACTTGAAATTCGAACTAGACTTTCTCCGATTTCTCATTTGGAACTGCTATCCGTTTCACCAGTTGCACATCATACACACATATATATATATATATATATATATATATATATATATTAATTTGTTTTTCTTAAACATTATTTTAGATGGATACTCATATTCGAGTAAATGCTCTCTTTATTTAATTAAACTGTATTTTTATTTAATTATTTACAAAAATGGAAGGCTGACCATACATCGGGGAGACAGACGTGTGATATCGAGGGAGACAGACGTGCGATGTCAGGTGTCCCCAGTTAATATTCGAGAAATCTTGCATCCTCTGGCAGGATTCAAACATGCATCACCTATGGGGAACTGCTTAACCGATTTAACCATAGGATTTCCAGTTAAAAAAGCCTGAAATAAGGCTTATGAACTCATTTTCTGCCGATTCTTGAAACATTCATATCTGCTCTTTTTTGTACCATAACATAAACAAAGACATTTTTATTTTTGCTTTGTTTTTTTTATTATTTAATTACACTTACCAGCCTAAAATACTGAAAACTTTTGTTAACCGGAAGTTTTATGTGGCTGAATCAGTTAAGCACATCAGATCTAATGACAGTTCCTAGTAAGAGATGCAGGTCCAAATCCTGCCAGAGGACGCATATTTTCTGACAAGATTTCTTGAAGATTCAACCTGGTAAATGTAATTAAATAAACAGAGCATTTACTTGAATATGAGTATCCATCTAAAATAACATTTAAGCAAAACAAATCAAAAAAAGTGTCAGATTTAATCCATTTCATAATATATATATATATATATATATATATTTACACACACATATATATATATATATATATATATATATATATATACTGCACAATCTAATATACTTATGAAAATTAGATCCACAGTAAATTCAAAATCTGAAATTCCGTGAAGGAAAAAACTACTAAGACATTTTACTCTATTAATTAGACTATACTTTTAGTCCATGTCACTTTAACAGAATAACACATACAACAAAAATTTGTGGATTTATCACATTACTAAATTCAAATTTCTCACTTGAAATATTTAAACAAGAACTATCATTGCAACATTGCACGTTCAAAATTATATAACTGTCAATAAATAACATATTTTTAAAAACATCTTTCGGTCTATGCTACATTTATTTCATCTTGGAGTTTACCTGTAAATGGAAAAATTATGCCCTAAGGATGAAAATAAGAAATTTTTGAAAGTACTCAGCCCAGCATCATCAATTCCATCTGAAAACAAGTTAAACAAAGATTGTTATCAACAACTTCCTTTCAACAGTTAACATTGAAGATCAACTGCCAGTTTTACTTTATCAAACCTATCATATTGTAGTGAAAGCAATAATCAGGTACCCCGGAAAAAAGATCGTGTTTTGTTGATAGATCTGCAAGAAGGATTACCAAAAGAAGTCAGCCAAAATCTTATAGCCAAGAAAAATACGACTTACCTCGTCAACCCAAGCAACAGCGTGGTCGGCTTGTATTCTGTGACGGAAAAGAAACAAGTCCGTCGCAGGAGTCGCTATAAGAGTATATTGATATGCAAATTACGGAGCATCCTATCCCAGCTGTCGACGAATGAAAAAAAAACAGGTTCTGCCGATAAAAGCAGTTGGTGTTCTCGATTGGGAGGGAAATTCGGGCATTTTGGCTACGGCGTTTGCTGGGAGAGTGACTTATTTTCCTGAGTGTAAGCAAGGTGTGGCACCGTGTTGGAATGGACATCACCCATTATAACGGACATCACTATTTAACTCTGATTGACTGAGGCCCAACCCGTTCACTATTTGGCGGCGTCTGAGTGACAGGATTCCCAAAGCGCCATTGACCACTTAAATCATTGTTCTTTGAATGTGGACCTCGACGGAACTCCTCACTGCATTCCGCAGTGAACTATTCAAAGATTTTGTGGATTCGTGGGGAGTACACCTCAGATTTCGCTCAGCCGATGTCCCATCAGGAATGGCATAATCGAGTGATGTCATCACATCAAAAGAATCGCTGCTAGGAAGCAGTGTTCCATAATGGAGGCGGTGTATTGGTACAATGTTACTCCGAGAGAATGTGTATCGCCCTCAACTGCCTCAGCAGACATGATTTATCAGTACAAAGTCCGCCACGAGGTATTGACGCAACGCGCTCAAGTGAACGGATAAACAAACGCGCGCCGCATGACTTGGGTGAAAGCTCCACATAGCCGGTGTACAACCCGGTGCGGTGGGGCATGTCACTGACCAAGTAACAAGCGCTCTGTGCTGGTTGATGGCATACCAAGACACATAAAGGACTTTCGTCGCGTAGGGGTACAGATATGTCAACAAGTGACACTAGCAGTGAGTGCTCAGAAAGTGAACAAATAATTACCATTGGAGGTAGGGCTAGCACCTCTTCAGATGGTGAAGACTGTGCATGAGGTTGTCAGACCAGAAGAATCCTCAGAAGAAGAATCTTTCAGAACATTCTTTTTTGATGAAGAATCTGCATGAGGTTGCAAATCAGAAGAAACCTCAGAACATAACACACAATCTCCTCCAACAGATCGCCCCGCCTGGAGAGAAACTTAAGAATAAAGAGGCCCGCCTATGAGTGTCACTTATGTGACAGGGGAGTGTTAAAAAGTAATAATCAGGTACCCACTCCAAAAAACATAGTTTGTGTACAATCTGCGAAGAAGGATTACCAAAAGAAGTCAAAAGAAATCTTCAGCCAAGAAAACTGATACAAACCTTGTCAACCTGCAACAACAATGGCCCAACCATTCTGTGACGGAAAAAGAAACAAGTCCATCACGGGAGTCACTATAAGAGTATATTGATATGCAAATTACGGAGCATCCTATCCCAGCTGCATTTAATGAAAAAAAACAGGTTCTGCGATTGGGAGCAGTTGGTGTTCTTCATTGGGAGGGAAATTCGGCATTTTGCTACGGCGTTTGATGGGGAGAGTGACTTATTTTCCTGACTGGTTACACGCTTTGTTAAAGTATTCTCCCAAATTTGCTTTGAGAACGCTTACACTTACACATATTTACTATTAAGACAGGAGTAAATAGTTGTGTCATCAGTATAGATATAGTGTTGGAAACTGATGTTATCGGGAAGGTCATTGATGAAGACAAGAAACAAAATAGATCCAAGGACAGAGCACTGTGGGACACCTGCATTAATGTGAAAAGGATCTAGACAAACAGCTGTTCAACACCATTTTCATTACATGATTTGTTAAGAAAGAGTGTATCAAACCAAAAATTCTGCCAAAGACATAGGTTAGGTTTGGTTTGGTTTGGTTTATGGCATACCAACCTCAATGGGTTATTTAATGCCGACAAGATTTTTATTGATGGTAATATTTTTTCTTCAAAACTGTATTGCTGGTAATAATTTTTTTACAAAAATTTATTGCTGGTATTAAAACCTATTTTTACATGCTTATAGTACTTTGACCCCAGTTTAAGGTTAACTTTTTGCACATAACTGGGACCCTAACAGGTGCTACCACTCCAGGTCAGGGTGAACCTGGAAACATCAGCAATTAAGAGGTGTTTCCATTCTCCTCAAAACCTCCTGATCAAAAGTCTGAGTGCCAGGTGTAGTTTATCGTCTTATCCAAGATGCACCAAAGACATAACCCTTCAGCTTGTGATGATGACGAGCATGACAAATACTTTGGGATATCTAATGTCAACACTTTGCTGTTCTTAACAGAATCTTTCAGGAATAATTAGACCTAGAGAAGCAAAACCCTTATTGTTTGTCTGAACGAATACTGTGCAAAGTGAGATGCTTAACTAATTCTTCAGAACTGTCTCAATTAGAGCTTCAAATACTTTCCCAAAAGGAGATAGAAGACGAATAGTTCAATAATTCAAAGGGTTAGGTTTACCAGAGTTCTTGAAAACAGGAAATACAGAAGAGGATTTTGAACAAGTTGGAAACCAAGAAGTAGTAAGGCATTTATTGTCGAGTTTAGAGAGAATAGGAGCCAGTTCAGAAGCACATTTCTTCAGGACAATTATATGAGCTGAAAACCATTTTACAGAAAAGGAGCATTAAAATCACAAAAAAAAAAAAAAAAAAAAAAAAAGGATTCAATAATCCAGAATTAGTGCTTATATATATATATATATATATCCACTACTAATGATTTAAAGGCCTTGAAAATATGTCTTAATTGGGTGTGTTCTATATGCAGGTCTGTATTATTTTCCTAAATTTGTTGGAAAGAAAAAAAAAAAAAAAAAAAAAAAAAAAAAAAAAAAAAAAAAAAAAAAAAAAAAAAAAAAAAAAAAAAAAAAAAAAAAAAAAAAAAAGGAGAAAAAGCCTTGAAATGTTCCTTTTATCCTATTGTATAGACCATTGTGTTGGAACAAAACATTTAGCCTAATTCAAGGTCCTTTCTAATTTGCAAGTTAACACTTAGCTTTAGGCAAAAAGAAAAAGAAAGTCCTAAATACTTACCTGTGGTTCTGCTGCTAAGGCCACTTGATGAGATGTACTGGCATAAATAGATCGTTTGGCTACTTTTCTATGTTGTAGATTATAAAAGTCAGGCATAATCTGAAAGTAGAGGAGGAGGAGGAGAAAAAAAAGAAAGAAAACGTCAAAAGGAGTTTACTTCAGATAATCAGCCACAGCAAAAACAGGGATAAAAGAATAATCTTGTTTAGAGTAAAAGGTTTTTGAAAAAGGAAAAAATATTCTTTGTTATACAACCAGTTTATATTCAGGTTACAGCTGTTGGTTGCAAAAGATAAGCAGGTTGAGAGTTAATTTATTTCCCTGTAGAGCAACCTCTACAAATACAAAAGTAGTTGATGGAAAGGATCCAGAGAGAGAGAGAAGAGAGGGAGAGAGAGAAGAGAGAAAAGAGATTCTTGTTAAGATGGGGGGGGGGGTATCTTGCAAGCACACAAACCTGCTATTAATCATAAATAAAAGCAACTCTTCTGGACATCATCGTATCAATCAAGCTGCCTTTTCACCTTTGAAAAGCATGTGTTGATATAAGTTTACATAAATATTTTAAATAGCTCAACAGCAACACAGCTAATCTTCAGAAATCTGAAATTCCAGTTTTTAAAAGAATTAATTTTGGTGAAGCTTAACAGATGCAAATAAAACAGATTGTATACATTTGTGAAATGTTTAAGAAGAAACTAATATTTCAGATGCTATTCAAATTTTTAAAAAAACTAAATTTGTTTCAATTAATAAAACAATTATCACTTTGATTTTCCTTTAAATGTGAAAGTATAATTGTTAACAAAATAAATTTAAAGCATATGCAAAAGTGAACTTGGTTTGGTACTGGAAGGCTTGAAATCACTAATATAGTGAAAGATCTTCAACACTAGTTTTCTAAACACTTTTTCTTGGCACATAAATGGTTAAGTACTTTTAGAGGATTATTTAGTAATACTAAACTTTCAAGTAGTCATTAAGCATGTAAAAACTTTATAATTACAGTTAGCAAGAGATCGAAGTAAATCAGTCAAAATACATTAATTTCTAACAATTACTACAAATCTTTGGTCAATATGAAATTGGAAGCAGAAAGAAAAAGAATTGTCCAATTAGTTTTTTTATAGTTTAACCAATAAATTTATGTTTAATATGCAAGTGGATTTAAAAAAAAAAACAAAAGTTTTAAATGATGATACCAAGACACAAAAGTTTTAAATGATGATACCAAGACACAAAAGTTTTAAAATGATGATACCAAGACACAAAGTTTTAAATGATGATACCAAGACACAAAAGTTTTAAATGATGATACCAAGACACAAAAGTTTTAAATGATGATACCAAGACACAAAAGTTTTAAATGATGATACCAAGACACAAAAGTTTTAAATGATGATACCAAGACACAAAAGTTTTAAATGATGATACCAAGACACAAAAGTTTTAAATGATGATACCAAGACACAAAAGTTTTAAATGATGATACCAAGACACAAAAGTTTTAAATGATGATACCAAGACACAAAAGTTTTAAATGATGATACCAAGACACAAAAAGTTTTAAATGATGATACCAAGACACAAAAGTTTTAAATGATGATGCCAAGACACAAAAGTTTTAAATGATGATGCCAAGACACAAAAGTTTTAAATGATGATGCCAAGACACAAAAGTTTTAAATGATGATGCCAAGACACAAAAGTTTTAAATGATGACGCCAAGACACAAAAGTTTTAAATGATGACGCCAAGAGACAAAAATATCCATGATAAGGATTTAAATCAAATATTGGTAATGCAGTAGAATGCAATAATTTCCCAAATCAAAATTTTCTCACACCTGGAAGTTTGTTATAATTTTTCCTTACTCTAATGAGTAAAAAAATGCCAATATTTAAATTCATTTCACAAGCATATCTGTTGTTCATTGTAAAATGTATTAAGGATTGAGCTATTAAGGGCAGCCATTGACTTGTGTAAGTTACAAAGTCACTTAAAAATAAAAATAAAAATGAATAAAAAATTTCCATCAACACTTAACAGATATAAACACTTTAACAAAATCTCATATTAAATGATAAACCTGAGAAGTTTAGTGTGCAAATATAATAAAAGCATTCATGATAATACAATTTATAAGTCAGGTCTTTATACTTGACACTAAAAAATAAAAAAAATAAAATTATGCTAATTGATAATTATTACAAGTGAGCAAAGAATTAATACTTTTATTGGAAGCTTAAATATTTATAACCATTTTTTTTTTTTTTTTAATTTAGTCAGAGCTAAATAAAATAGTAATCTTGATGGTTTTATGCAATCATTTCAATGTAAGGATCTGAAAATATACCAGAAAGTATAGAAGCAGTACAAGAAAAAATGTCAGCAATAAAAATAAAAACTGATACATATTGCATCAAATGTCTCTGAGGTAAGACCATAATATCATTTATAAATAAAAGTCTTAGACTGATTATAATCAATCTTGGACTGGATAAAATGTTAGTTCTTTTTGTGGTATTAGGAGCATTTAGTTTTAACTATTGGAACAGTCAGAAGTAAAATTTGTAGCATTTTTTATCTAAATATTATCATTGAAATTACAATGATAATATTTAGATATTTGTACATAGATTTATTCAACCATATATTTCATCTGCTCCAGTACATCTCCCCATTTTTGAAGCACCATCATGATTCCATCCTCTCAGACATTGCCATCTTTGTGAGTAATGAATTAAGTAGTTTTTACAGGAATCCAGAAAATTGAAGTTCTTCCACATGAAAAGAATTTTGTAGGGATCAAAATATGTGGTAATCTGAAGGTGCAAGGTCAGGTGGGCGCAGCAGTTGTAGGGGGACATCCTAGCCAAGCTGTACCAATTTCTGTGAGGTCTGGCATTGTCCTGATGGAAGATGACACCCTTCCAATTGACTAATTCTAGATGCTTTTCATAATTTGGTACCTTTAAATGGTCAAGTTAGAAGCAATACTTGTCTGAATTCAATTCAATGTTTTGCAGATGGAACTATACATGCCTTTCCAATCCCACCAGGCATACAGTATCACCTTTGTTTTCCTTGGGGCCTTTTTCACTTCACATTGTTCATTTTTCATTGCTTATGGCTTATTTTTAAAAAAAAGTGGTCATTTTTGTTATGTTTGAACAGAGAATTGCAAATGGAAATGCAACCCATTAAATTTTTTTGTTAAATTCTGAGGCACCCAAACATCATGCCAATTCCTATTTTCAAATGCCCGACAAAACTCATATGAGATATGGGGAATATATCTGCAATGTCCTGAGTCACATGACCTGGATTATTTTTAATCAGTATTTCAGTTTGAACATAATCCATAATTGCAATCTTGCCAGAATATTTTGTCTTTCAGATTAAAATTTCTTCTTCTGAACCTAGTAAACCACTTACAAACAGTATTCTCAGATATGACGCATCCTCATAAATGGCACACCTCTTTTTTGCTATTTGTACAATATTTTCCTTTCCAGAAATAAAAGAACATCAAATGAAAAAAATGCATCACATTTTCCTTCACTTACATTTAAAGTAAAAAGCACTTAAATTTCACAAATGAGTTAAAGAGAAAGACATGTTGAAACGTCACCTTTCACAATATGGCATAAATTTCAGTCACATATAGAATTAAATCACATCTTCAAATACCACCATTTCTTCCATCCCAATAAATTAATAAAAGGCTCAATTTGATTGTATGATGACAGGTGCTATATCAGCATGTATTTTTTTTTTCAATGGTCAACATTCATGTTTTTGCTTACTGATTCTATAAAAAGGCATAAGAAAATACCTAAGATTTTGGCCCATCTAAGAATGCAATTCAAGTGCTAAAAATACATTTGTGCAGATTATCAAGAAAGTTGTATGAAAGGAGAGCCCAAGATGCAAGCTACAAACTGAAGGCATCAAAATCAAGCAAGTACAGAAATTTAACAATCTGGCAAGTGCTATAATAGATAATCTGAAGGCACACTGGAAGAAGGAAAGATGTTTTTTAAAAGTTAAAGTATTATGAAACAGGAAAATTTTGATAGAAAAGAAAAAGATTACTGAACTGCTACATAATATCAGTTCCCCTATATAGCAGTACATATTGGAAAATTTACTCAGAAATAAACAGGAGATTTGCAACAAAAGAGATGTGGTTAGAAAGAAGGATGCTGAGAATTCCAGGAGCAAAGTATGAGGAAGTTTTAAGGTGAATGAAAAAAAACTGAGAGGATGCATGTAAAGTTGAAATTTATGGGGCACATAAGGAAAGAGGGCTTAGAGAATTTGACACTCACAGGACATAATGAAGGAAAGACAGGCTGAGAGAAACAGCAAGTAACCTACCTAATGAGCTTGTGTAAATGGATGGCAGAACAGGGACTGGAAGGGATAGTAAGATGAAAAATACTAAGTGCTACAAAGGACAGAAAGTTGTGGAGAGTGACAATCACCCACATCCCAAAATGAAATGACACATAATAGAAGAGAAGGCTAAATGATCAAATGTGTCAAGAGTGGTTAGCAATGTTTTATGCTGGAGATTTCTCCCTGGTTCAAGAGACCAGGTGAGGCTGATAGCAACCAAATAAAGACAACTTGAAAATAATCAATGTTAGATAACATACTCAAAAACAGTCAAAATCATTTGCATCAACTTGGTTGTAATATTCACTTTGATGTGTAGCTTCTATGTGTGAGTCACTAGAAAAACTAAAAGAACTGAAATTAAACACCCACTGCCATATCAATGGCCAGTCTTCATTGAAAGAAAATGATGCTGTGTCAAGATGTGGTGGATTAGAAAGGAATTGCTTGCTATAAGAATAGTCTGGACAGCCAAACAATTAGATAAACTGAAAGCAACATCTAGAACTAAAAGAATTCTCATACATACAAAGAAGAAGAATAAAAAACAAAAACTATAGTACTAATGTAAAAATTTGATCTTCAGCTTTTTAAAATAATTTATTAAAAGTAAGCTTAATCTCAAAGAATTCAGTCAGAATAGCAGTAAATGCTGTCTTTTGTATTAAATCCATTCACAAAAAGAATTACCACTG